TACAGATACATTCGCGCACATGGAGCTATCGCTGTCACCAAAGGAAACGGTAACTACTGGCTTTTCATTATGCATATTTCGCGTCTCGAATCTCTCCCATCAGCTCTCCTATATTTACCTGTATCTTGGCCCGATCCTCAGCTTGTACAAGTTTATTTAGCAAGTTTCAGCTGATAATTACGAGCTGGCCATTATTTGCTTATCAATTACAAATCAATTTTCTGTTTGACGATGGTGTTTGCCCAGGTCTTGTAAAAGATTTGTTGACACAATAATTAGGGGTGAAATTAATAAAGATTTTCACGAGGAAATTGACAGTCTTTTATTTGATATAATCAATTGGACAAGTTTTTCAACATCATTGGCGTCAATTTATTTTCTATTTTCTATCCAAACGATATAAGAAAGTTCGCTGTAAATCTGTCCTTATAATTTCCTTGTAATCAGTCCTTCAAATCAGTTACTTAAAACTCCAAATGCAAACCTCAATTACTTACACATTTTCAAACTTTCTTGTATTGTGAATGCAAGGTGCTTCAAATTCTTCGAGTGTTTAAAGCAATCGATGGCCGACAATTAAACTTTTGAGCATCATCCATCAAGTTAATAGCTGCACCGCAAGGAAAGTAAAAATTTAACACAATAGCTGTCGCTGGAGCTGCGCACCAATCTTTACTTAAGATAGATGTCTGAAATCTGAAATTATTCGGTATTCGGCATTCTGTTTAGAACATTTCGGCGATCAGCTTTCGCTTAGATTATTGTTGCTAATTGGCGGCTGTGAAAGTCTACTCTAAAAACAAAGTGTGGAAAAAATGTTATAATTTGCTAAGCGGTCGCAGAGAAAATTTACTAGTGGCACTTTTTTATATTTTTTGTGCGAGAGCATGAGAAATGTAGTTTAGCTGTCAGCAGCGAAGATCAATCAATCATGGAGCCAGAGAGCTGGAAAACCTGGTTAACCCCCAGCGCCCAGTTAAAGTAATCCGAGTTATTTCACCATTCGCAGGCGACAATTAAAATGCCTTTATGTTATGTTATGTGGTGTGCAGCGCATTTTATGCATTGCTTTTTTATGAGCAGGCCCAGAAAAAGGCAGTCATTACTATTGTGATTTCTATGAAATGTCATTTTGTGGGAGTAGCAAGCGTTGCCCGGCGAAGCATGAACTTGTGTTTGGTCACTGAGCACGCCACTATGTAATCATGTAGCTATGTGGCGTCCAAATGAATCGTGGCTTCAAACTCCAGACTCCAGACAAAACATTAATTAGCCAAAGGCAGCCTAATGACCCCAAACCGCTAGCCGAGATCAAGATCGAGATCGAGAGGAAGATGAAGATGAAGATGCAGTGCATCTGCGTCTATTGTATGCACCCAATGGCTGCCAACCACTTTCCACTTTGCTGCGTTCCATAAATAAATAAAAACCTAATGTTCGACGGCGGCCAACAAAAACTGGCTGCACCACCAACGTGATGTGGTTAGATGTGGTTCACGCCCGTCCCTGTTCACTTTTTCACAGAGCACTTCTGCAGACGGGTTCGGGTTCGGGTTCGGGTTCGGGCTCGGATTCGGGTTTCTGCTTTTCATTCGCTAATTTTTAGCAATTTTTTGCTCAATTTTTGCTCAATTTTTGCGTTCATCCTTGGGGTTGTGAAAAGTGTCTCATGACAGCAACAATTGGCGGTCGTTTGAAAGGTGTTTAATGTCGTGGCAAGTGCTGTTCGAACAACCTGCTTGTGACATTGTCACCTGGCAGAGAAAACGGGAGCATCGAATGGTAATTGCACATGAATCTAAAATTTCCTTTAATAAACCTGACTTGTACGATTGGTTGCAATCCTCAAGAGTTTTAACATGCGACAGAAATGTGATTTTAAATTCCACTATTAAGCAGAGCACGTAACACCATTAATGATTTAAAAATCGTTCAATTGAAGAATCTGTAATCTAAAAATGTGAAATATTTACTTATTCAAGGAGGTCCGCCCCAACACCATTCCGGATTTAAAGGTGGATGCCACATTTCGGAAGGTGGCCAAACATGCGATTACCTTTGCACTTTGGAAAATAGACGAAGATCGCCTGGAGGCAGTCCCAAGATCACATTACGGAACCTTCTACGATGGCTGCGCATACATTATCTATGCAGCGAGTTTGTCGGGGCATTATGCCAACCACGAAACCATCGTAAGTAGTTTACGTGGCTTGTTTAACCAACTTTTCAACGAATATTCATGTTTATAGACACGCGAACAGAAGCCGAATGTGATTCTTGAGCGATATATCCACTACTGGTTGGGAAAGAATGTAAGCGAGCAGAATCGATCCAACGTGGTCCATAAAATTCAGGAGCTGGACTCTTATCTGGGAAACACATCCTCTATTTACCGCGAGACCCAGAATCTGGAGAGTGCGAGATTTCTTTCTTATTTCAAGAAGGGTTACGAGTGAGTCTTCTGCTTTTCTGGCCGATGGGAAAAATAAAAATAAAACTGATTCCCTTTCAGTGTTCGATCGGCTGCTCTAATAAACGCGCCCAAGAGGCCACGCCTTTTTCAATTGAACGCCCGCAAATGGCTGCGGTCCATTGAGGTGGCCACCATCGATTGGTCGCACTTTAACTCTGATTACATAATGGTCCTTCAGACGGATACCCTTACCTACGTGTGGATAGGCCGCTCCAGTTCGGGAATCGAGCGGCGAAGTGCGCTCGACTGGGCCCAAAAGCACTGCAGTGGATCGCCAATCACAATAGTCGATGATGGATATGAACAGGCCATGTCCCAGGAGAATAAGGAGCTGTGGAACTCCCTGCTTCCGCTCAAGAAACGGATGGTCTGCCAGGCCAGTCACTTGGTCAGCGAATACGCCGACTACAACAGCAATAAATTCCGCATCTATAAGTGCAATCAACGGGGCAGGCTGCATCTGGATCAATTGGATGTGGGCATGCCAGCCAAAGATGATCTAAGCGATGCCCATGGAGTCTATTTACTGGACAATTACGGCCAGAGCATTTGGCTGTGGGTGGGAGCGCAGGCACCCCAAGCGGATGCCCTCTCTGCCATGGGAAATGGAAGGGCTTTTGTTAAAAAGAAGAAATATCCGGATAATACGTTGGTGGTGCGAGTTTTGGAGGGTCACGAACCGGTGGAGTTTAAGCGCCTCTTTGCCAACTGGCTAAATGTTTGGCAGGAGAACACCAGGGGACACAAGCCAGTATCCACAAAGTTTGGCAAACTAGATGCCCATTCCCTATGTGAACGCCCTAAAATGGCTGCAGATACACAGCTCGTTGACGATGGCAGGGGTGAAAGAATAATCTACCGTGTTATGGGAGATCAGGTGCAAGAGGTACCCATCTCAAAAACGGTTGTGTTCACCACCAATGCCAGTTTCGTGGTCAAGTACAGCGTCCAGGTAAGAATAAGCTCAGTTGTTGTTTTGACAATTTTAAAATTCACTTTTCTTGCAATAATCTTTAGTGCGCTACTGTTGTTCCCGCGGATCTGGCCTCCGTTGGCATAAAAACAATCATTTACCAGTGGAATGGCTCGGAAGCTTCTGCGGAATCGATTTCCCGGGCGGACAAGTTTGCCAAGGCCAGTTTTGATGCTCTCAATGAGCCTGGAATGTTTGTGCAGCTCTATGAGTTCGATGAGCCACCGCACTTCCTTCAGATCTTCGAGGGAAAACTTATTATCATGCGCGGTCAGCGGAGCGAGATGCCTTACAATGGGAGCTCTAACGTCTTGCTGGATACGTTTCTGCTGAAAGTTTACGGTGATGCTAGCTACAATGCTAAGGCTGTGGAGGAGACACATCTGTCATCGATCAGCTCCAAAGATTGCTATGTGATCAAAACGAACCATGTGTGGGTGTGGTGCGGGCAAAGTAGCACGGGAGACGCCCGCGAGATGGCCAAATCGGTGGGAGCTCTACTGGGGGAAAACTCTCTGGTCCTCGAAGGCAAAGAAAGCAAGGAGTTCTGGCAGTCGGTCGCTATGTACTTCAACCAAACTCTAGTGATCAACGGAAATGGGAACTCATGTTCCAGCAGCACTAGTAGCAGCAGTGGCGCAGGAAGCATGTGCAATGGCAGCTCCAACGGTGGAAACATTTCACCCACTCTCAGCAATAATTGTTACCTAAACACTAGTGTTCCGAGCAAACCGAGACCTCCTGTACAACTATTTCTGGTCTGGTGGCAACAGAGTTCGCTGAGATACGAGGAGATTCTCGGATTCGATCAGCAGGATCTCAGTTCAGATTGCACCTATATTCTGGACACTGGCAGCCTCACCTACGTCTGGCTGGGATCGCAAGCTCCAAACCAGGAACGCTACACAGCCATTGCCCAAAGCTATGTGCAGAATGCGCCATTCGGACGCAGATCAGCGACAGCGTTAGCCGTGGTCAGGCAGTTTCAGGAGCCAAATGTTTTTAAGGGATTCTTTGAGTCCTGGCAGAACGATTACGGCAAGGTAAATAAAAAAAGGTTTTTAAGATTTCATATGTTAACCTAATTATTTTGTATAATTTAGAACTTTCTCTCCTACGAGAAAATGCGGAGGGATCTGGGAAATGAAGTGCCCAGCACCTGTAGCATCGCCAGCGATGGATCGGCTCAGATTCTTAACAACAGACAGAAGGACTTTGATGGTCACAAAAAGTATCCATTAACCGTGCTCATCCAGGAGATGGATATGCTGCCACCGGAAATTAATCCGCTAAAGAGGGAGGTGGGTTCAACTAAACATCAATTTCCATATCGGCTTTTTAACGTCTGCTTTCCACCCGCAGGTTCATCTCACACACGATGATTTCGTGTCAGTGTTTAAAATGTCTTTTTATGAATTTGACGAGCTGCCCAAATGGAAGAAAATGGAGCTGAAAAAGCAATTCAAACTTTTTTAGGCTCATTAACTTGTTGAATTGCGTGTAACGAGTGCGCACTGTACATACTCCTCACTTATAATGAATACTATGAAGAAATAGTAGCTGTTGAAGCAATTTATGTTTAACATACAAATTTTACGTAGATGTAATAAAGCAAAAACATGAAAATCATCTCATTGAAAGATATTAATTAACCTATGTGTAGGCCAGGCCATTAAGTGGTTTCCACCTCCTCGGAGTCTGGCTCGTCCCCACTACCGGAACCTGGCAAACAAAGATAGTTATATATGGCCATTGAAATTAATATTGGGTGACCAAAGTATACTTACTAGGAAACAAGAGCCCGAAAAGAAACTCAAAAATTCCACCGAGTAGATCCCAAAACATTTTCGATCCGGTGTTGTCAACGATTTGTAACCAAGTACAATGGCATTGCCGCCCGAGAGCTGTTTTGACCCATACCCCTTTAATGAGCCATGACAAAAACGCTCAACCAATTCGGACTTAATACGATTCAGAAACGATTGCATGATTTGGGTCAAAAATACATAAAATATACGAGTATAATACGTGTATGTCTATTGAAAAGCTTTTACAGATAAATGCTCATATCAACTTTATTTGCTCACGATCGCTGGTCTATTTCAATAGTAGTCGTAATAATCGCCAAAGTACTCCTCATCGGCTTTATAAACAAGAAATAATATGATTACAGCCCTATTTGGTAATATTACAAATGCATTACTTATGTCTGAGAAGAAGAGGTCGTTGAGGAAGCCCAAAAATATTTCCGGCAGTTCACAGAAGTCCATATTGTTGGTTGTACTTTGGTAGTTTCACAATTTTGTTTTGTATTTATAGCTTTAATTTGAAGGTTAATTTATTTTGTATATATTATGGAATAATTCACTTGATTACTTCTATTAGGTTTGCGGATTATAATAATCTAGGTGCTTGACTCATCATCGTCATAATCTGATGAGGTATCACCTGTAAAAACGAGTTTTTAGATGAGTTCCATTTACGTATTGATAAATTGACTAAAAATTCCTATTTATATACTACTTATCCAGCTCCTCTTCTCCCAAATCCTCCAACTTACTGCCAAACAGCATATCCCCAATGATTTCGAATATCATTCCAATAATTTCACAATCCTCCATGCCCTTGCTTCTTCTGCTCTTAGAACTTGCACTAAAAACATCAGTCTTAACAGCCTGTTTTATATACGATTTTGCTGCTGGGTATTGTACTAATCGAAGTTATCTTATGAACTTGGTACATTTCATGGTTAATCGTACATAATTTAATAAATAACCAAGCGATTACGTTTAAATATAAAACTGTCTGGCAGCGTGACATTCAAAATGTCCAGAGCGTTAAACATAGTTTTATTAAACATTGTGTAGGTACTTAAAAAAGAAGCCATATAAAACAATTTAATACACATCATAGCCATACATGGGTGCCTCCATGAAAGCCTTCTGTTGGTCCGTCGAATTGCGGCGGATTCTCCGCCCTATGGGCTCCAAGTCTGAATAGCATTTGGGGAAAACTCGTTCCACAGCAGCGACGGCATCTTCTTTGGATACATTGCGCACAGCGAGCACTGACGCCAGGGCTTTGGACTTGACGCAGTTCTGAAAAAGTAATAATAAAGTTATATATTTTGGCTCGAAGAGGGGCAACGTATAGAACCCACCTGATGCGCCTCCTTCACATTAAAGGGCGAGGCATCCCCTTGGAACATTGCGCTCAAAAAGGAGCAATGCGCCAGGTTGGCCGCCCTGATCTCTGTGCAAGCCAGGTGGTCCACGTTCCGGAAGTCCATATCGTTATTGCAGTAGTCGAACATGTGAATCATCTCGTGGGTGAGCACTCCATGGACCATGCTCTTATTCTTGGCCATATTCTGGCAGACCACGATCTGGTTGAGCTTGGGATCGTAGCCGCCGGTGACCGTGGGGTCGCACACCTCGCAGGAGATGTGTCGGCGCAGATCGATGGGACAACCGGAGCTTTTCAGGGCTCCCATCATCAGTTTCACCAGCGGGCCATTTTTAACACACCAGTAGACATTCTCCTCGCACTTGAAGCGATCAATGTTCTCCTGCCCCTCCAATCCGAACAAGACCCGTGTCCATTTGGGCTTGAAGGTCTCGCCCCTCCGCTCCGGATAAAGGTCGTAGCCCCAATCCTTCTGAGCAGTTGTGGTTTCTTCGGTGGATTCCTTGCTGGCAGACGCTGTTTCCGCCTTTGGTTGTGGGTTTTTCTGAGCTGCGCCGGTGACGGCTTCTAATGCTTCCGGCGTAGTTGCCTCTTTGGCCCACACTTTAGTCAGGAACTCCATTATTTCATGGGCTATTTAGTCCTCCACCTTGATTAAATAACAAACCGGCAGCTGATTTGGCAGCGTTGCCACATTGCTGAAGGGACAGTGGGTCAGCAGTACTGGATGTTTTCAACCCATCGAAAGTAAGTTTGCATCATACCATAATACGTAATACCTTAACGAAATTTAATCAAATTAAAATACATTAACCAATTCCCCCGTGCTGGTCATGCAAACGAAACCCCTTCAGCCATTTCAAAGCCCGCCACTGGCTGCTGCTATCGATAGTTGTCTCCATTGCCATCGATAGTGCTGCACCGGCATTTTACGACTCGTAAAAAACCAAAGCAAATTCCACGTAAGGTTTACAGCACTCGGGAGGCAGCTCAAATAGGAGATTAATTAGGAGTAGTACTAAGCACAGCCAAAATGCAAAGCTTGCAACTCAGCCAAATGGTGCTAGTGCCGCTCGTGGTGGCACTGATGGCCCTGGACGGCGGCTCTGCCATCGAGGTTCCACGTCCGCTGGGAGTCTCACTGGCCAAGGCTCCACTGTACCAACCACGGGCGGGCGAAAACAGTTGGACCTGCCTGGATGGCAGCCGGAGCATACCCTTCACCCACATCAACGACGACTACTGCGATTGTGCGGATGGAAGCGATGAGCCGGGCACTTCGGCCTGTCCGCAGGGCCGGTTCCATTGTCTGAACAAGGGCCACCAGCCGGTGGATATACCCAGTTCCCAAGTGCAGGACGGCATCTGTGACTGCTGCGATGGCAGCGACGAGTCACAGGTGGTCGGTTGCCCCAATACCTGCTTGGAACTCGGGGCAGCGGCTGCTGTCCAAAGGCGGAACGCAGCAGAGCTGTATAGGCGTGGAGCTGTGCGGCGTCTGGAGATGATTTCCCGCGGCAAGCAGATGAAGGCCGAGCGGGAGGCGCGCCGCCTTGAGCTGGACCAAAGACGCAAGGAACAGGAACTCCTGCGCGCCGAAAAGGAGCAACTCAAGCAAACCGCTGAGGCTCTGGAGGCAGAAGCCATTGAAATCTTTAAGGAACAACAGCGGGAGGTGGATGCTGATACTGCTCAGGCGGAGCGGGAGCCGCAGCAGATGCGCCAAGAGGCCTCTCTCACCTTCGTGCGCTATGACACCAACAAGGATGGCTTCGTTGAGGTCACCGAACTGATGGTCGACATGAATTTGGACAGAGATCGCAACGGCGTGGTAACTGTGGAGGAAGCCAAGTACTTCCTGGACGAGCGCGAACGGGTGGATCTGGACGCTTTTGTAACGCTGGCCTGGCCACGGATTAAGCCTCTGCAAATGCTGGCTGAGGGTCTGTTCCAACCGCCGCAGCCAGAGGAAGTTGCCCAGCAGGCAGAGGTCACCACCGAAGAGATCAAGCCCACTCCACCAAAGCTAAGCGAAGGTAATGATAAGTGCATTTAATTTAGCTTCTAAAGCAGAGATAAGAATATTCTTTTGTTGAACTATTCCAGAACAAGCTGAGCTCGCTGGTGATGAAGATATTGAAGCCGATGAAGAGGGTGAGGAGGATCAGTACGACGATGAGGAACCAGATGTGGGCGTAGGCGAAGCCTCTCCGGATGTGGAAGAGGTCACGCCACCTAACTACGATCCGGAGACGCAGCGTTTGGTCCAGCAGGCCAATGAGGCACGGAATGCTCTTGAGGAAGTGGACCGCAGCCTGCGCGAGATCCAGCAAGAGGTTAACGAGATTGACGAGCAGAACAACAAGGGCTACGGCCTGACCGAGGAGTGGGCTGTACACGACGGCCAGTGCTACAACTTTGAGGATCGGGAGTATGTGTACACTCTGTGTCCCTTCGATCGGGCTTCCCAAAAGTCGAGGAGTGGTGGGCCTGAAACTACGCTGGGTCGCTGGGATAAATGGAGTGGAGAGCCCAAGCAGTATTCCCAGCAAAAGTACACCAATGGAGCTGCCTGCTGGAATGGCCCCAACCGTTCGGCCGTCATCAACATCAGTTGTGCTTTGGAACCCAAGATCACTGCCGTCAGCGAACCCAACCGCTGTGAATACTACTTTGAGTTCGAAACTCCCGCGGCCTGCGACAGCGAAGCTTTCCAGTCTGAGGCGGAGAATCTTCACGACGAACTCTGAAAACTTCAACAATCGAGGAGGAGCCGAAGGATAATGTGTATGCTTGGCATGCGTAGACTAGAGTTTTGGGGATTGTATTTTAGTTTTAAAGGAGAATATCAATTTTGTCGAGATCATTCCCAAACTGCAGCAGGAAAACCATCAAGAATTGTAGCAAATTAACTCAGTATACATATGCATTTAAGCAAAAAGTACATCAAGTTTCATTCTGAATAAAGTGTAAACACCTAGTATTTTTAAAAGAGATATAGCGAAGCACATCAATAAACGCTGCGCAATTGAGTATTGGGATGCACGATTCGTTCAAAGTCGGTTTCCTTGAGCTCAAACATATAAGTATTCTAGGTTACCCTGTACTTTCGTGATACTTCAGCACAGACGATTTTCAAGGTGTAGTAAAAAGTATATTATAAGGGAAACACTATATGAAGAAATTTAGTTAGGTGTACACATTTAGGCAACAAAAAAATGTCGCCGAAACGGGGGACTCGGAATTTTGTTCATTTTTGAAAACACCCTTCGCATAATGTGAAAGATGTAAATTCCCGGAATTGTACAATGGTGTTTTAGACTAGCTCCTGAGATTCCCAAAAACTAATTCTGTTCTCAATAAAGTATAAACATTTAGTAAATATTAAAAGTATGCATATTACAGTGTAAACTAATTTCAGGCCTCGGTGACAGCCTGTTTAATGTCCTCCAAATAGCCATCGACCTGGTGCTCCAGAGCGAGAATGTGTCCCGTGTTGCAGTTCTCCGCGCCCACAAAGGTCAGAATGAGCGGCAGCTTGTTCATCTGGACCACCTGGTATTTGGAGTACATGGAGATGATGGTCTTGTTCCTGCCCAATCCCAGTTTGCTGGCCTGGTCGCAGGCGGTGGTGAATGTGGGTATGAACGAGGGCATCAGGGCGAAGTCCACGTTCTTCTCCTGGCTGACCCGCAGGAGGGGCACTCCGTCGCGATCCGTAATCTGAATAACGTACAGCCCACTGACCCTTTGGGGGAAAATGATAAGAAAATTGCACCGGGAAAGTCTTTCTAGTGGGATATTTACTTTTGCAGCAGGCCGTCTAAATACTTCTTGATGTCGTCCGACATGGGATTTGTGCTATAGTGCAAGACTAGAAAACTTATGGCAATAATAATAAGTTTTTCTCCGCATCCAATTATTTACACAAAACAAACTGAGCAACAGCTGACCCAAATTATCGATAAGTTCAAGATTCAGGGGCGTAGTCGGGGGTCAAACAAAATAATCAAATAATTTAAACTAAATGAAATTAAAATACGTGGTTAGTGATTAAATTTTCGATTTAAGTATAAGCTTATTAGACTTTCGAACAATACATTTTATTTGTTTAGCTGAAACCCCTTTAAAATGTTTAGTACGCACACTTGGAAATTTATCGATTGCAGGCCGCATTTGGTTGCGTGGAAAAACAGTTTGTTTGTAATATGTAAAATCGCTGCAACTAATGGAAACAAAAGTGTAGTACAAGCTTTTAATTCGAATTACCGTAGATTAAACCTTCCTGTACCATGGTGGCTGAAGACCCGGAAGCAACAAAGTCCCCGAACGCAGCGGCTTCAGATGATGACGACTACACCGCATCCATGTCTCACCTGACAATTGGCCAGCAGATTCAGGAGCTGTCCAAACAACTGCAGAACACCAAGGAGGAGCTGCACCAGCAGGTGCGGGACAAGCACGGAGCTCTACTGCAGCAGGCCACCCACGCAGGACGCTTCGATGCGGCTTTAAACGCGCTCGCCGAGGATGTGCAGCGGGTGAGGGAAACTGGACACCGGCTGAAGAACCAGGTGGACACGCAGTACCAGCAGGTGGAGAACCAAACGCAAGTGCTGGGGCGTCTGCACGATGTCAGTCACCTGCTCCGCTCGGCTGGCACATTACTGAACCTCACGGCCAAACTAAAAGGGACCAAGGATGTCCTACGCCTGGCCGAAATCCACTTTGAGTTGGGCCAACTTATCGAAGACAAGGAGCTGAAGGACATTGATTTTATCCAGCAGGAGCGAGCTTATGTAATTAGCTCTGCTCAGAAGATAAGAAACCTCACGCAGATGCAGTTGGTCACGGGGCTCCAGGAGCGCAATGAAAATCAAGTCGTTAATGCTCTGAAGGTGGATATAACAAACATTTTTCTAACACCTACTTTACAGTCCCTATTCCTCAGATCTTTATGAATTTCAATACGCTGGAAAAATCCCTGGAGAACCTATTGGCTACCTTTATTGCCGACATGGAGCAATCTCTTAAAGAGTGCTTTGCTGGCAACGATATATCTGTGCTGAACAAATCGCCTACGCATAACGTGAGCAAACCAGGTCCCTCGAGGGGACCGGGAAAAACTCCCCAGTTGACGACCACTCAAAACTTCCGGGCCAAGTTCTGGAAATCTCTGCACTGGCTGCTCTATGATGAACTTTTTGAGACTTGCACGCAAATCAAGCTGCTTAAAACGGCCCTCGAGCAGATCAACCAGTTTGGTTATACATCTGAATCATCGGATCAGTGCATTCCGCAGCGTTTTTGGCAGCAGGTGCAGCAGCTGCTGCGTAAATCCTTTGACGAATGCCCCCAGCATGTTACCCAGACCCTTCAGGAGGGACTCTCGAAGCTCCTTACCTCCGCTCGTGGCTTGGAGCAGCGTCTGCATGGCGAGTTTCAGTTTGACAACGAGCTATTCGCTCCCCTGGAAGTGGGCTACGTTAGCAAGTGTGCTGCCAACTTTAAGGCCTGTCTAGCGGGAGTCGATTTACCCGGCAACGAAACTGTGGACAATTTCATTCGTGTTGCTTCAACTGAGCTTAGTGCTGCTTTGATCGATTCCCGTCTCACGAATGCCATAGCAAATGTTTTTGCAGCCTGCGGCAAAGAATTGTGCACAAAACTAGAGGCTCAAATCAAGCTGGGAGCGGATTCTAAGCAGGTCGTGGATCTGCCCAACCTGCAGCAGCAGCAAAACACTCAGCTGGCGAATGTTCTGTTCTACTATAAGGATTCAGTGCGTCGCATGCTTAGTGATCTTCAAGTGCAATTTGAAAAGACACCGGGTACAGCCAGGGAGATTATATCGCGATCCTTGGAACAGGCTGATTTGCTGATCGGCACCATTCTACAGCAGATAATGGAGTCGATTATTACGACCATTAGCATCATTGTATTGAGTATGCACAGGGAGCCCGGATTGAACTCGGAGAGGATGTCTACCACAGGTCCGTCGATGTACATGAAGGAACTGCAGGTGGGTGAGATCTTGAATTTGATCAGGTGCTAGTAATATGTCTCAATCAAACTATTAGGAGTTTGTCAACCGATCCTGGTCGCATCACATAGCCCTCTTTGATGACAAGCAGATGACTAAAAAGTGTGGTCACGAGCTGGCCAAACGTTGCATAGAGCTCTTCCTGCATAACGTGTGCATTCTGCGGCCTTTGAGCTCCTCCGGAAGGCAGCGTTTGAAGCAAGACTGCCAGCACATGGAGCAGGCTTTGAAACCCCTTTGCCCTAATCTCGCCGAGCTGGGGAAGCCCTCGCGCCTGCTGAGAGCCATGTCCTTGCTGATCGTTCAGACGGCCGAGGAGCTGGTGAAGCAGACAATCGGGGAGGACTCTCTAGTACCCAGTTATATAGTGCTGCTGCTGCTCTTCGGACACGCTGGCGCGGATCTGCAGTCGCCACATACCACGGCCAACTGGTCCAACGAGCGTCTGATCGAATGGCTCGATGGACACACGGCTGAACGGGAGAAGCTGGAGCTGATCTCGGGAGCACTGCAGCGGTATCGGGACAATGCCAGGCGGAAGAATATTCAGCAGTACGACGAAGTTTACCCCATGATGGTGGCGTATTTTGAACAGGCCTTGAAGGCAATTCCGTAAATGCCTAATGTATTTTGTATCTATAACTAAGTACGTAAGAGTTCGAATGTGGTTATAATAAACGTATGACACCATTCACAACAATTGGAATTGAGCCTGTTCCGTGCACTAAATGAAGCAAAGTACTATAAATTTGGCCTGTTGGTTATTGTCATTTATTTAAATAATTACTATTATTAGTAGGTAGTTTTTCGCTAATTCAACATTAATGATTTGTACTGCAGCATTTAAAAATTATTCCAAAAAATAATTATTACTTATTTGTGATTTAAATAAAGCATTTCGAATTTCCTCTTTAGAAAATAATTCTTTCAGAATATCGGTAGATATAAAATTTTTTCAAGGTTATATCTATCGACTATCGCAAAATAACGGTGAAATCATTTTTCCTATGGGATATCGATATATTATTGTTCTGGATTTTTGCTCTCCGGAGCTCTGGTCACTCTCTCCCGCTCACCATTTTGTTTGCAACGTGAAAATCTAAGGGAAAAACGCTGTCACTCAGTTTAGCTGAAGCCAATACGGTGTAAAGTAAACAACATACGCTTGAAAACTACGCAAATATAGTGATTATCGGCCAAGAGGATGGACAACATAGAGCGACTGTACAAATGTTACGAGATTCTGTCCGAGGCGGGCGATAAAATATCCGAGGTAAGCCGCCATTGGAAAACGTGCCGCAAAAGAACGGTATATGATATATGTATGTACACACATATTTATGCTTTATTTCACCATCTTGCAGCATGTGGATGAATATACGGAGATACTTAAGGCCGTGAAGGGCACGTCGAAGGAGAAGCGCCTGGCGTCGCAGTTCATTGGAAACTTCTTCAAACACTTTCCGGATCTGGCCGACACAGCCATCGACGCGCAGTTTGACTTGTGCGAGGATGACGACACACAGGTGGGTGGAACGCTAGTAAGCCTATAAAGCTACCTAGATCATGCACTGGCTCAGTTTAACAACATAAGATTACTCCGCATACTAACCATGTTGCATCCGCTTAGATCCGCCGCCAGGCCATCAAAGATCTGCCGAAACTGTGTCAGGGAAACGCAGATGCCACCATCCGAGTGGGAGATACTCTGGCCCAGCTGTTAATCCTGGACGATCCCACGGAACTGCAGCAGGTCAACAACTCTCTGCTGGCCATCATAAAGCTGGACACCAAAAGCTCCGTCACCGGATTGTTTCAACAAATCGCCACCGGAGATGAAACGACAAGGGAACGCTGCCTCAAGTTCATAGCCACCAAGCTGCTGACCATGGGCCCCACAGTCATTACCAAGGAAATCGAGGACTTTATCGTGGAGGAGATCAAAAAGGCTCTGCAGGATGTCACCGCGGATGAGTTCCATCTATGCATGACCATTCTGGGAGCCACCAAACTAGGAAGCACCATCACAGGACACGCTGAGCTCGTCAAGCTGGCCACGGAGCAGGCGGAGCTCAATAACACAGACACAGACATTATTGCCGTAGACGATGAGGTGGTGGAGCGTTTTATTCAGTGTGCCACTGCTGCGGCGCCTTACTTTTCGGTAATTTTTCAATAACTGCAAATGAATTTGCAACTCTTGTGAGCTTTTAAATCGAATCTCTTGCCATTTTATAGAAAACCATCAAGTCCACGGCCTTTGTGGCTCACGTTTGCGATAAACTGCTGCCCATCAAGACCTGGAACATGATCGCAACTGCAGTGTCGCAAGATCAAATCCAACTTAGATTACTAAAGGTATTCGCCGAGATGATAACCAACACAGACAAGCTCGACAATGCCAGCGAACGCATAAATGCAGTCTACCATGTATTACTGGTGAGTATTTGGTACTTGGTAAAGCAAAAACGAGAGAATAACATGTAAATATGTTGCAGGAATACATGCCTTTGCCAAAGCTGAGCGACGAGGATCTGGGAGATACCCCGCCGTCGTTTCAGTTCTCGCACGCCGAGTGCCTGCTGTACGCATTACACACACTGGGAAAGAATCATCCAAATAGTTTAAGTTTCGTCGAGGATGCGGAGAAGCTAAAAGACTTCCGAGCTAGATTGCAATATCTAGCGAGGGGAACACAGGGGTAGGCTTCTACAACTGCAATTCTGTATTTATAATTTATTATACCTATAATACTTGCCCGCTTGCAGTTATATTAAGAAGCTGGAGGAGGCGCTCAAGGGCAAGACTGGAGAGGAGCTCAAAACGGAGGAGAACCAACTGAAGCAAACGGCACTAAAGACAACATCAAACATCAACGTATTGATCCGGGATCTATTTCATTCGCCGCCCATATTCAAGCATGATATTGTGCTTTCTTGGAT